GATATATCAAACACTCAAGACAGTGTTTGACCACATTTCCAAACACCTTGAAGTTCGTCAAAAATACTCCACTGCACATCATATTTTCCACTCTCTTCTCGGTGTTTGGAAATGTGGTCAAACACGGTCTTTCGTGTTTGACATATTACTTCCAGCAGGAAGGCTACTGGTTTTCACAGGTGGGCAAAACTGTTTGAACTGAACTTCAATATAAGAAAAACGTTCTTTAGATTGTCAAACCAGTCAGACAAAATCATCTTCACAGGTGGTCAATTTACCTGGTGCCTGGCCCTTAATGAAACCCCTGAGTGTTGCATGGGAGATGACAGTAATCTACATGTACATACCCAGGCTTGGATATATACAGATGATAAATGGCCACCACTTTCAAAACAAGGGGGTCCAGTGCTATACTCCCCCACAAAATTGTTTTGGATTTTAATTAACACCTAAAATTTCCGAGTCATTCTGGAAAATCTGGCCTATTTCCATACAATGCTAGAAACTGAGCCCTAAAATGTATTTAATTTTGATGTTTTAGCCCACGATACAAACAGAAGATTCTCACCTTTTGGGGTAGCAAACACATTTAGGAGTAGGATATTTTCTTCTTTTACACCATGCTCTAGAAGGACCCTTACAGCTGTTATGACAGTGGCTCCTGAATCTGCTGAAATCAAAAGGCTTCAATTTGGTATGGACACAGTAAAAACCTAATCATACCTTTTTGTACACTTCAGCAGCATATCAGGCTGACTACAGTGTCACCAAAGCATACTAAATATTAAGCATAAGTGAAGCCTAGGAGCTGACTGACTCATAGCTGCTGGAGCTTATCCCGGTTTCTGTAGCATGAAGATGCTAGGAGTATTTCTACTCCCCCTGGATGGGATGCTAAACCATGCAGGTCACTCCCCCACAATTTGTTAGGTTTCCCCAACAATTCGCTGGTACTCGTTTATACTCCTGGGTGGAGAGAGGCACTGTGAGCATTAAGTGTCTTGCCCAAGAACACAACACAGTGTCCCCAGCCAGGGCTCGAACCCGGACCGCTTGATCTGGAGACAAGTGCACTAACCATGAGGTCACTGCACCTCCTCTATATTAAATAACAAACATGTTAAGGTATAATATGTTAAGTTAATCATGTTAAGGTAGAATGTGTTACCATGTTAAGGTAGAATATGTATTTAGAAATTTAATAATAATTACTAACACTTACTGCTAAATGTCTAAAATACAAAAAATGCGCTTACAACAAGAAAATTAATAGAGGTTCAAAAATGTTATAAAATTACCCCAACGGTACAACTGTAAACATGACAATAGCAAGAGCTTAGTGAACATGTTTGAGAATGATTTGATCTGAAGTGGCCAGCAAAAAACATACTTTGCGGTGCCTTGCATGATATACAAAAACTTTGGACAAAGTAAACAAAAAGTGTCTAGTACATGTACATGTTTGTTATGAAATGCACATTGATGACTCTACGCTCTATTTTGTACCAACAGAACTATTCCATAAAATTACAGGAAATGCCACTCACTTAGCAGAGGGTACATGAGAAAGACTTTCCTTTGATCCATACCAGGAGGAAATTTTGCATAATAAACCTGACATACAAAACAGGACAAAATGTACATTAACTACTGTACATACATAAGTATAATTATTCAATTGACTATGTGACATGGAACTGTAGCAAAGACAAATGTAATCAATATTCTTGGTCTACAATAACATCATTGCACCTCATTCAAGCTAGCATATCATTGCCACATTTTCTTTTATCATAGTAACCTAGAGGAATAATAATTTATTATATTATAACTTAACCATTGAGCTCTAACAAGGATATCAAAGTCAAACAAACCAGAAAAATCAGTTTTACATTTATCCTGCCAAGGTACAATTTGATACTTTTCTTTCTTCTGGTGCATGGTAATACAGCTGTATATTATAATAATGTGTATGAAACAATGGAAAATTATTATACCAAATTATACCAATAATTCTATTGAATTACAATATATTATGCATTTTTATTAGCTGTTTTACCATTGGTGTCTTGCTTTCATCCTTCATTTTTATAAGAATCTTTCCTATCCTTATTGACCGGCAACAATCTCGTAATCCTTTTTCCATTGCTTCTCCTAGAAATGAAAGATGCAT